ACTAACAATACTGTTCAGTGACACGATGTAGTAAATCGCTGCGGTACGATGTGGCACACTGTCCGCTTCCACTAACAATACTGTTCAGTGACACGATGTAGTAAATCGCTGCGGTACGATGTGGCACACTGTCCGCTTCCACTAACAATACTGTTCAGTGACACGATGTAGTAAATCGCTGCGGTACGATGTGGCACACTGTCCGCTTCCACTAACAATACTGTTCAGTGACACGATGTAGTAAATCGCTGCGGTACGATGTGGCACACTGTCCACTTCTACTAACAATACTGTTCAGTGACACGATGTAGTAAATCGCTGCGGTACAATGTGGCAACACTGTCCACTTCTACTAACAATACTGTTCAGTGACACGATGTAGTAAATCGCTGCGGTACAATGTGGCAACACTGTCTGCTTCTACTAACAACACGGTGCAGTGACATGATGTAGTGAAAGGAGACAGTGAGGTGCGACAGCGTGCTTCTAATGATGAACCAATATAACGATGCGGTGACAGGACATCGTGGAATGTAGCCGTAAGATCTAGCGCACGGTGTGCTTCTATTGATGCCATGGTACAGTGACTTTTTGCAATGCCTTAATGGTGCACTTGTACTGTCAACATACTGTACAATGCTGCACATCGTGTGCTTGTACTGTTGACCCAATGTGGTGACGCAACATGACGTGATGTGGCACAGGCTGTGCTTTTACTGGTGATGTGATGACATGCTTCTTTACAACTGTAATGGTGTGCTTCTGCTGGTGACGTGACATGATATCATCAGGAGTGAATAATAATAGATTATAAGATAATGGATAATCTATCATTATTCACTTCTGATATCATAATGTGGTATGATGCAGCACAATGTGGGCTTATGCTCAAGACATGATATGTGTGAACAGTGTACATGTTTCTACTTAACATGACATAATAGTATAACATGGAGTCTTGTATCATAAAAAGCTGCACAAGGTGCAGTTTTACTGAAGACAGTATATTATATATATATATGTATATCAAACGGTCCTGCACATCATATTAATGATATTCATGTCACTCATGTGACATAACATCGTACTGATCCAGGAGCAGTTACCTGCATTGAACATGGCTTGTGGGTTACCGCGGTGGTCTGTTGCGCAAACTGAAAAGCTGAAATAGTGCTAAAATGTGTTTTGTTTTTTACCAGGAGGGTACCAACATGTAACAGGGCTGTCCAGCAGATGAGTTCAATTTTGGGTTTAGTGCACAAACTACTGATCAATAATACTAGTGTGTCTATAGTTACATTTCTGACACACATTAGACACTCTGCACAGACAAACAGGACATCAATTATGGTGTCACTATCATGTATGTAACATTAATGTGTGCAACATTAATTGATGTTTGTGCTTAAATATTTTCTAAACTACATGAAACAATAGGTTGACTGGACGTTTTCTCGACTGATCATGTTATATAATAATAGTCAGTCGTACATGTCATTGTGGTCACACCTCCCAATATTTTATTGTTTCTCTGTCACAAAAAAGCTTGGTTTACAAACAAGTGTAATTTTATCTCCGAATTATTTTACTCGCTGTGTTATCGACAACAGAGCAACCATACTTAATACATACACGTCATTTGCAATAGAGTCCGTATACGTTTGTAAAAGCTACTCTGTCACGAAGCAAAAATCAGCTATAGAATACATGCAATATGTTGAAATCTGATGTTACGCTAGATAATAATACTTGCCAAAACTACCAGTGACAATATAATAATTTGTAATAATTATAATAATAAAAAGAAATAACTGATCAATGTACTTGATATGAGAGATGCACATTTTTTACTCACAAGCTAAACTCTACAATGCCGATTCACAATTATCGGACAGTTTCATGGAATAAATTGCATACACGGGAGTCGTAGTATATAAATACTGCCAAGTTCATGATAGAGAGAACCTGTTTTTTTTTGGTAAATGTGAAATATTCATTATTACACAACATATATGTAACACGTTTATTACGACACCGTGCATACAGTTCACTCACACAACTATAAAGTTATAAATCAGACGTTTTTTCATACTGCTATTCTTTTACAACTAATCAACATTTTATCATAATCATAGAACAACGGCTACAGGTAGACGTTTAACACTAATATACGAGAGCTATGTGAAGACGCAAAACAGGTACAACCCATTACCAGACAACCGTAAATATAGGTGATCAATCAAGACAAAATGTCTGAACAAACTACAGCTATGTTAAAAGACACTCACATGTCAATATAAGGTCCTGCATGATAATCTCAAACAAGGCACATGAACACTGTCCGATGAATGGAAAAATACATTGATTTATATACTACGGTGCATATACTGCAACAACATAAGATGTGTACATAATACATCCCATTACAGTGATTACACTTTGAATATATGTACTACTGCAGTACTACATGGGTTTAATTTCGAACACTTAGCTTACAGTTTTCACAGTTAACTTACTCGATACTCGTAAATATATAGTGTTTGGTAAAAAATGATTTGTATGAAATTCACAGAAAAGTAAAGTCAAAGGAACGACTTATTGTGATGGTGAACATCAAACCTTGGTGACATCATAAATATATTACAACAGTAGTAATATATTTTTGATTGTATGTGTTATAAAAGCAATTTAAGGAAAACACATTTGTAAACATTGAGCATGTTAAAGTAAACAGTGTAAAAAAGTGTACAAAACACTATTTAAAACTATGTACCTTGCAGAATGAAGAATACTCTGCATTTCGCCACTAAAAGCCGATTCAACCCAAAATTCGTTGCACGATGCCATCCTCAATTGACACCAAAGGTGTGGCAGTAATGTTAACCCAATTAGATTTAATGGGTTTTGATATAAAAAAATAAAAAATTGGATGAAGTCAATTTAGTTAAACGACACTCACCAGATTGAAAAGATATGGTATAAGTGGAATGTTTAGGCACACGTTTTAGCTGCCTTGCGCATTCCTGCAACGTGTTATTCTGGGCAACAACGAGTAAAAACTAAACACCATTCTATGAGAAAATATATTAAAGTACCCTTATTACTAACCCCTAAATGGCACAAAAAGTGTAGCCATAAAACATAATATAGAATATAAAGTCGTCAGTTTTGGAGTATAACGCACAGATCTGTATGTAGGAAATTATTTCTTCTAGTTCTAAACTAAAAGTAAAGGTAAAAAAATCGAATAACATAGCAATGTATTATTCAACTTAACCTGATGAGATTCTACACCACATGAGAAAAGTAACCACTCCACACCATGTTTCTCTCCGTTTTCTCCTTATATTGTTTACCAAGTTATTTATTGGTACGAGCTATTATTTAGTTGGTTACACAGCATATGCTAATGTCAACCAATGTGTTGTTTTTTGTACTCTGGAACACTAAGCTTGGATGTATGGCACTACATGGTCTACTATGTAGTGGCACTATATGGCACTACTGTGGACTGTCACAATGTTTTCAAATTACTGTTTTGACTGATTTCATTTTTCTAACAATGTACCTCCTACTCAAATTAAAACATTAATATTTAAACCATGCGTAAAACAATATAAATTGAAGTTACCTTAATACTGCATTGCAACCTAATTCTCTAAGTATGGGTAGTGTTGTGCTACACAGTTTCACATGTCAAGAAAATTTATTCATCACACAGACAGATATGTCATGGAACACTATTCAACCCTCAGTTTATGCTCCTTCAAGTTTCACAATCTCACAATTTTTACACATTTTCTACTTTTCTACTGATTGTTTAATCAAAATTTCTCCCTGCCACATTAAATAAGTACAACAATTATATGGATACTTATTTCAAATTTCTATTTGCAGTTTACCATTGTGATCTCCAGGAAAATAGTTGGCAATGAGAAGGAAGCCTTGTATATACGCAGTCTTTTACTACAGGTCACTGTGTTTCTCGTCACCCTTCCCACCCTTATCAAGGAGGCTCTCTTGTTGGGTTGGCTCCTCGTGTGATATCACAGGAATGTCAGATTCTTGTGGAACGACAAACAGCAATTTCTGAAGACATTCTGTTGCCGTTTCTGTGGAAATGCAGGGGATAAGAAAAAACAAACATTTTAAGAATAAAAAATGCAATGCCTTCAACACACAAATGGGTTTTAGAGTTGACTCTGGGTAAGCCGTGTGACACACTTCTGACCAAATTAAAGATATCATTGCTTTAAATTAGCATTTATAATTACCAAACTAAGTTCCTAATCCTGCCAATTAACCCACACGAGAAACACCATATTCGTGACAGAAACAAATGTACTTTTAGTTTAATACTAATACTTGTTTAATACAAGTTAAAATTGCAGTTTACCGAATAGTGCCGTGTAGCAGGCTGGCTTGTACTTCCAATATATGAACAGCAAATAGACAGGAATCCCGAGTGCATTGATGAGCAGGCCGTAACCTGAAGGTTCCGGATCCTCAACGAATGCCAACACGACAATGAAGACACAGCAGAGTGTGAAAATGACCGGAATGACGATGTTCAACTGCAAACAAACATATCACTTACATGCCTACATTCTATTATATAAATTCGGACGATACCCATTACCTGCACACATTCCATTGGCTACAAACAGTCACAATCGTGGCATTACATATATTCTATTTTATTCTATATTTTATAGCATTATATATTATTCTATTTAGACCTTGCATGTTGACATCAACATAAAATGGCCTCTTTATATGGTCCTCCACTCCACCTACGAAATATGTATCACAGGGTTTCTTGGCACAGTGGCGCACTACCGCTGTCAAATTTAACCTCGCCGTTGTGAAAATGTGAAAAATTGTGAAATTTTTACAATTTTGCAAGGGGAGACACCCCCCTTCCCCAGAACCCCCTCCCCCAGCGAGAAAGGGAGTTTCCCTCTCCCTCTCTTCCCCCGCATCCACATGCAGTGTCCACATGCATGCCTAGGGCACACCCTTGAATCCATCATGTGCGTTTTTCCCCCAAACCGGCCATTACCTCCTTTGTCTAATTTTCCCTCAGAAGAAACCCTATAGCACCCACCTTAATCGGTCTCTCCCAGTCAGGTTCCTTCCAGCGCAGGTACAACATACCAATAATTGAGACAGCCACCCACAGCCACATGCCGAAGCTGAAGAAGCTGATGAGAGCGAACACATCCCTCACGCACAGGATGATCAGGGAGGTGATGCACTGTGGAAACAGAACACACATGGAACATGACAGTGGAAGTGGTAATTTGTGTCAGGACTTGTTTTTATGGTGGCAATCCTAAATCTTCATGAACGTTCATGCCCTGTGAAAGCTTGCCTAGATTAATTAATGGCACTCCTAATTGCCATCTCATCAAAAATCCAGAATTATGTGTTAAAAGCAAGCTGATACATAGCTGTTACTAATATCAGGAGTAGATAATAGGGAAGGAGTGTGACTTCAATAAACAAGGGAAATTCGTCATTTACTAGCCTTATAATACCTACGATTTACTACGCATAACTCATCCAACTTGAGCTCAAATCGTACACAGTACATTCGCCTAGCATCGTGCGAAATCGTTTCCTCGTATACACCCATAATCCGGAGATATAGACTAAAACGTACGACACGATTTTCCATTCTGCTGCCAGCAAACTCGATGCGTTTTGCGCCGAAATTTAAACAAAAGGCAGCTACTAACCACAGCTTGCTCTCTCGGCGAAGCGGTGTGGCTCGCAGGGAGATTGCGGTAAGCGTGCGTGCGTGGAGGGCATACCCACTGTATGCCGGTATGCCGGTATGTAGCTGTATGCCGGGTCAAAGGTTATCTCGCCGAGTGTTGCGTCGATGTCCAATCTCCCTGCGAGCCACACCGCCTCGCCGAGAGAGCAAGCTGTGGTTAGTAGCTGTCTTTTGTTTAAATTTCGGCGCAAAACGCATTGAGTTTGCTGGCAGCAGAATGGAAAATCGTGTCGTATGTTTTAATCTATATCTCCGGATTGCGGGTGTATACGAGGAAACGATTTCGCACAATGCTAGGCGAATGTACTGTGTACGATTTGAGCTAAAGTTGGATGAGTTACGCGTAGTAATTAAAGTATTATAAGGTTAGTAAATGACGAATTTCCCTTGTTTATTGAAGTCACACTCTTTCCCTATTATCTACTCCTGCTAATATGTATGTCCTATATAACAAAAACTTTGCCATGTCATATTTCCGTCAATTACCGTGAACAGCATTGATGGGGAAGGTGTGTGCTTCTTTACATGGATCATGGAAACCACTGCTGGCAGGTGCCCCTCCTGTGCTCCAACAAAGAACAGCCTGCAATCACAACACATAATACCAAGAGCGTATTAAGAAGGAAAGCGTAAAACGGTGAAATGCTGAAACCATGTTGCAGTATTAGTCGAATTAAGAAACTTTGCCCGATTTATTTTGACGATTCTTTGCGTTTTTATTGATCAGCTGTCCTACTTTGCTAATATAAAACAAACCACTTGTCCCTACAAATCCCTACGCTGAGATAATGAGCGGTGAAAATCAGGTATTTTTACCGAAAACCGACTCGAGATCCCCGTTGGCTGCGACCCTCTCTCGCTTTGCGATAGCTTCGGGAAATTTCCGACATTCATTGACAAATGGGATGAATGAAAACTTGTTTGTAGCGCAAGGAACTTTGGGTAGACCATACCATACATCGCCATTTTCTATTTTCTTTGTGTACATCTGCGACTACAATTTACAACTTTCCTGTATAACGTGTGAAGGCAGTGCAATGGCAGAACATTCAGTTCCACGAGCTATGCCAAAACTTGGACTACCTCGCCAGAATGCTGGACCTAGACAGTTTTGTTGATGTTAGATTCCTTTTCCTTCTACTATCCTTTCTCGTATTCCCAGTCATGAACGCGGCCATTACTCCACGATGACGTCTGTTATTGATTGCCATAGTGATGACCCCCACCTCACGCTGGATGTAGTAAACTCTGTAGTAATGATGTAACGAGTCAGCACTACCATGGCACTACATAGCGGCGACCGGAAACAACATACTGGCCACAAAGCAAGAGAGGGTCGCAGCCAACAGGGATCTCGAGTCGGTTTTCGCGAAAAATACCAGATTTTCACCGCTCATTATCTCAGCATAAGGGCATCGTAGAGACATGCATATCCTACACAGACACTATGCACATGCAACAGTGGCACTTAGTGCAAGTACTTAGCTGGTAACAGTACCGTATTCCTGACTTCTCTCATGTGACTCACCTCCCAGAAGTGAAGAGCAGCCCGTTGACAGTTCCAAAGCAGGACATGGATACAAACACAGGTATGATCCAGGCCATCACTCCGTACATGCGATTACCGAACAGCTGCGAAATACATACAATGCGGCCACTATATTGTATAGTTCATGACAATATATTTCACAGTCTCCAAATTCAGAGGCTACAACACATGAAAGGATATACAGGGTTCATCCGAGAAATTTCAGAAGGCATATGTCATTTATGGAAGGATGAGGGAGGGCCTGTGAGGGGGTTTTACCAATTGGAGTCATTTACATATCATAAGTAGCTCCAATACATACATAAACACGATAAGTAAACACATATATGGAACTTATTTCATGTCGATTAGGCAATCAAGGCATGCTGAGAGAATTATGGAATATTGCAAAATAGCTTCAGTTTCGAAGGAATGTTGGAGCTGACATGTCTTAGAGTCTTGGGGATGTGACGTATCTATGGATATATATAAACGAAAATTCACTCCCGCTCCATAGAACTAGTGCTATAGAAGACAGTACAGTGCTCTATTACTTACTCGCATGGCAACACTTATGTTAACTAAGCTGCTTCGTTTAGACAGCAGTTCTCTTTAAACAACTCACCACACCAGTAGCATCAGTAGTAAGAAATTCCTCTGGTGGTATAACAGCAAAGTAGGCAACATTCGTGAGAACATAAAACCCTGTCACCAACGGCATAGCAATGATAATAGCCCTAGGGAGGTTCCTAGAAAGAAATTTACAACATTCTTTATATGCGCTTTGCACACAATTATGCAAGCTTGGAGTATAAATTTACAAAAACATATATTATAACTTTATTTAAAAAATAAGCTATATAGTATTTGTTTCAAATAAACTGCAAATTTACTGAAAATGAGCTGTGATTTAATAGTTATTAACTAATATTGACTATCACGATTATATTTACTCAAATATACCAGATATAGGTCCTAAGAAGAATTTCTAACTTTAAAAAATATTTAACAAAATTTTGCACTGTAACAATTGTGATGTTTTAAAATTGTATGATAAATTTCGGCATGAGAAAGTATCAAACACAAGCAACACAATTAAGAGTCTAGTGAGCACTCTCAACTCACTTATGTGGTTCCTGCAATTCCTCAGTGACGAAATTAAGGAAGTTCCAGCCTCCGTAAGCAAACAATCCATTGTAGAATGCCAATGCAATCATGCTCACAGTAGCTGGCTTCTCTATTGGATCCCATGGCTTATCAAAGTTTTCAGTGTGGCCTAGATATCAGCAACAAACAACTGTCACCATCAATACTGCCCACATTAGATTTGCGGGAAAAATATCATTCAAATTCAACAATACAGAGTCAACTCCCCATCAATAACCTGCGTGCTTACCCATAAACATGTCTATAATGTTATGTAAAACATAATGCACCAATAGTCATCTCTTTGCTGTCAATATCTAAACATCCATGGAATGGCCAATGCCTACAATTAAATACCTATAAGACGGGTGGAAAGTTACCGTATATAAATTGGACAACAACATTGCAAATATAATGATATAATCAACGGCTATATACCTAAGCAATTAAACCGTAATAACATAAGTGCAGCATCGTTGTATAATTGCACCATAGTGGCTGTGTACAGTGGCGAGGGAGTAGCACATAGCCTTTAAAATGTGTTTATATATGTCAGAAGATTACGATGTAGCAAGACTGCATGTGCACATAGTTCTACTTGAAGAAGGAACACGGGAGGGGTGTTGACATTAATAATAATTTGTTTCGAGGAACGATCCTGAGGACGATACGCAGGAACGATCCTGAGTTGTTGAGGGGACATATCATCACCCTAGACCATGAATCTTTCTGAACAAATAAGAAAGGGAGACGGCACAAATGTAGAACAGTATGGCGCACGCATCTACCAGCTAATATCAGTCCTGTCCTAGACTGGCTGTAGAGCTCTACACGGTTTCTAGCAAGTCGGTTTTTACCATTTATATTCATTTCACGATCATTCCTTAACCTCATTTGCACCTTCAGCCACAAAATTGCCCGTGCGGTAATCCATCTCCAACCACGAGGATCCATCTCCAACTACGTATACGTTCGTGTTTGTCGAATAACAACTTTTCATCAGAAGCATGGGGTTAGGGAGAACACGCACTGATGGGTGGTGACAGTGGAGTTCTTGTTCTGAATGCAATTATTCTATGTACCGTACAGAAATAGCATGGCGTTAATGGCGTGTGTAATTATAACAACTTGCGCTATAAAACCCTGTACAGCGGTAGAAGTTGGGGTGGGGGAGGTACAAAAGTAGGGAAGTTAGACGAGGGGAATGTGGAAAAAGTAGAGGAAGTCATATACTTTCGCGCCCTCCTCCATGTTCTTCTGCACCAATAGTTTCTCCTCCTTCAGCTTCTCCACTAGCTCTATATTTTTTCCATCCTGCACCTTCTTCACGCTCTCCCCTTCTCTACCTCATTCACATTCTATCCCTCGTCCACGTTCTCGCCTTCTCTGCTCACTCCCACACCTTGTGCTATAATATCTATGTCCCCTACCTTCCTCCTCTCCTCTACCCCGTTTTATACCCCTCCACTGCTTCCATATCCCCCATCTCTACATTCGCCTTTACTTTAACCTTCACTAAAAGTTTAATAAAGCTCACGCTTGAGTTCACACCACATATTTAGTGTGCATGTGCAGTACGCACGAGCCAAGCAAACCTTTCACAGACTCTTCTTGTCGTGGTTTGAATTCTCAAACGTGGGAGCGACAAGTCAGACCAGGATAAACCCATGGATACTCAATCTCAGAACATATACCAGAGTTAGAGAAGTGGTATTATATTGTATTTCTGG